GATGGATCTATTTGCAGTTTCTCTGAACATTTTTGGAGTAAGTCCAGTAGACTTTGGGAAAATCTAGTGTTCACTTTGAATTAACAAAGTAACATGATCCTTTTCTTTTGCTTGATTGGGAAAGGATTGATTTTTTTTTTTTTATCTGCTTACGATTTAGAGTTGTGGTTCTCAATTTGTAGTGTGTGTGAGGATCCCCGATGAAGAGATGCTTGAGCCCCACCCACCTTCCATTTGAAATTGGGGCAGTAAGTTGGAGGGAAACCTTGGTGGTGGTTTTCCTTCCTTTAGACTCCACAGATGATTTGGATATGTGATGTGGGCCCTGAGGTACCAGTCGTGGTAGAGACTCAATCTCGGAGCCTTAAAAGAATTAAAAGCCTGGGGCCTCCCCGGTGGCGCAGTGGTTGAGCGCTGGGTTGCGAAGCTGCCCGCGGCCTCTGCGGCACCGGTTCGATCCCCGGCTGCTCCCCGGCCACCGGAGGAGGGTCCCACATGGCGCGCAGACCTCTCCTGCTGCCCGCTGCTCCCCTCAGCAGTGTACTTTGGTCCTTCTGCCTGCTCTGCTCCCCGCTCTGGCTCTGGTGAATTCTCTCACCCTCCCGCGCTTCTGACTGTGCCCAGTGCTTGTATAAACAAAACAAACAATAAAATAAAAAAAAAAAAAGCCTCTATACAATTAAAAAAAAAAAAGAATTAAAAGCCTGTTTGTATGTTATCAAGAACTTTTCCCTTCCCTTCAATTTGAAGGTGTGTTAGTACTTTGAATTTAGTTTGTTTTCTGTGGCACCGTTGGCCCGTGTCACATTGCCTGGGGTTATGAAATTCCTACAAACATTTCCTCTCGGCATTATAGTCATGCAGGTATTTTTATAGTGTGACCAAGTTCCCTATTTTAATATTTCCAATATCTTTAATCTCTTTTCTTTCCTTTTGTCATATCTTTGTTTCTGAAGTGCCAGTTTTTCTACTTTAATGGTTTTAAGTGAGTATAGGTAAAGAATTGTCTGTACTATAAAGTAGCCTGCAGCTCTTAGATTGCAGGGTATTTCTCTGCACTTTAGTAGGAAGTCGTGTTTTTTTTTTTTTTTAAAGAGGCATGTTTTTTATTTATTTATTTGTTTATTTGTTTGTTTATACATGCACTGGGTACAGTCAGAAGCGTGGGAGGGTGAGAGAATTCACCAGAGCCAGAGCGGGGAGCAGAGCAGGCAGAAGGACCGAAGTACACTGCTGAGGGGAGCAGCGGGCGGCAGGAGAGGTCTGCGCGCCAGGTGGGACCCTCCTCCGGTGGTCGGGGAGCAGCCGGGGATCGAACCGGCGCTGCAGAGGCTGCGGGCAGCTTCGCAACCCAGCGCTCAACCGCTGCGCCACCGGGGAGGCCCGGAAGTCGTATTTTTTTTAAGCAAACTATTTTTTTCTTATTGAAGGAATTTATTTTATATTAATTTTTAAAATTTTTTTAATCATTGTTCATTTTTTTTTAAGATTTATTTATTTATACAAGCACTGGGTACAGTCAGAAGCGCGGGAGGGTGAGAGAATTCACCAGAGCCAGAGCAGGGAGCAGAACAGGCAGACTGATGAAGCACACTGCTGAGGGGAGCAGCCCTCGCAGCAGGAGAGGTCTGCGCGCCATGTGGGACCCTTGCCGGTGGCCGGGGATCGAACCGGTGCTGCAGAGGCTGCGGGCAGCTTCGCAGCCCAGCGCTCAATCGCTGCGCCAACAGGGGAGGCCCACACTGTTCATTTTTAAACCCCCTCTCATCATTTGTCGGTGTGGCTCCCGATACCTCAATGAGCCGTTTGCACCATGGTGCCTGCATCCCTTTCATCCACTGTGCACTAGAGTAAATCTTGATGATTCTTTATGAAAGTTCTTTCAGAAAAGACCTTCACTGTTTAGACTCCTGAGCATTAGCATGCATCATGCCATCCCTATTCTCTGGCACAGCTGATATCCCTTGTAGTATGCAAGGGGACACCGCTTTCCATGGAAACACAGCTGGTAGAGGAGTCACACGGAATGTAGACCGAAACAACGTGGCTTAGTTGAAGGAGAGAATAGGTGGCTGGCTTGTCCGTTGGGAAAAGAAAGAGCATTATTAACATTTATCGCATGCCCAGCCCTGGTACTTGTGCCAAGCCCTCCCCAGGGGTTGTTTTATCCTTAATACCATGCCTATTCACAGGGTAGTTATGTCTCTTTTACAGATGAGGAACCTGAGACTGGCGCATCGAACCTGGTTGCATGGCTAGTCGGGCAGCAGAACCGGGATGATCAGGTTGAGTCTTTGCTCTAACACCGCCCTCTGCTGTGTCCCAGAGGTCCTGGTGGCTGGGGTCAGGAGGACAGTGGCAGGGTTCTGTGCTGGTGAAAGTGGGGCATTTTTTGCCACCAGAAGTGTGACTTTTCTGCAGTAGAAGAACTAAAAACAAAGGCGATTCTTTATGTGTCAGTAGACACCAGCTTATTGTGAGCCCTGAAGGGACTAATGGAAGGAAACAGTGCCTGGCTCATCTCAGAGGTGGAGAAGCTAAGTGGGAGTTAACATCTCCTGAGTACAGACTTTCCTGGCTCTCATTTGGCTTATCTGAGGACAAGGAACATTTGTCTCTTTGCCGAGAAGGTGAAGTGGGCTCCTCCGCCTCACTGTATAGTCAAGTGACTACAGAGAAAGTAGGAAGGCCAGGGTGGCAAACAATAGTTGGTTTTCTCTGTGACTCTCCTTGCCTGGCAGGGCCCTTCTGGGATGGGGTGAGGAGTCTCACGTTCTCTCCAGGCTGAGAGAGAAAGCGATGCCTCTTTTGATGAGTGTAGCCATTTACTTGTAGGAGGGCAGCTAGCCTGGTGTTAGACCAAACGACTTGCCATTATTTTTTCAGGCCAGCTTCCCTTTGCCTTCCAATTACATTTGCAGATTTTTTTCCCTGTTTTTTTTTTCTGTATGACCAACATTTCTTTCCTGATAAAACATTCTGTTCCTTCTTTGCCCACAGAGCACTGTCAGCTCTTACTCCACTTTCCTCTGGAGACCCTTTTTGGTCCTCATACTTAGCCTTGAACTGTGTTTGCAGTTGAATACATTTCCTTCTTGTGCCCTGGATTATCTTTTGGTTCTGAGAATCCTAGATGAATGGAAACATGATTCCATAAAAACGTTTACCCTGAGTCTTGGTGGGGCTTAAGTCAGTGCTCACTTTCTCTTAAAACTCTGCGGCTATTTGCAGTTTTGAGACGGCAGCCTTGCAATGTCCGGCATAATTTGAGTCACGAGTAAACAGTTTGCTTGCAGCCGATAAGTCACCGATGTCAGCCAAAGCTTATTCAAAATGAATTTTATGAAGCGAGTTTCTGTTGGGACAGAGGCCACTGCATCCCCTAGTGTGGTGGGAGCACACGCCAGAGCGAGCTTTGCCAGGTGAACGTGGCCTTTTTTCTGTTTCACACTCATATTTCTTTGTGCTCCCAGGATCGTCATGACAGCCTTATCTCTCACATAAAGCCTGTTACCTCATCCCTAATTGCTTATCCAAAGGCAGGCAAGCTCTAGTTTCTCCACATTAATAAATGACACCGAAGAAGAACTGCTTTGTTTGCGTTGGCTCGCTCAGGTTAACGGTGTAAGTCCCTGAGTGCATTAGGATGCCTGTGCCCCTCCAGCGACCAGAGGGAGAGGTGTTCACCTCCTCAAGAGCAGCATTTCATTTATTTACTTTTGCTTGTGTTCTTAGCCCTCTTCTCCCGATGAAAGCCCTATAGAAACTTTCAGTCAGTGTGTCTGGCTAAAGCGACTCACTTCCCTTCAAATTGGGTGATAGAAACTGTTGTCCATAGTATCCCCTGATTTCAGGGGCTTTCTTGACCACCGCTCTCCTCCCTCTTCCCTTGGAAGCCAAAAGTCTTTGTGCTGATGTCTGTGGCATACCCAGTATTGTCAAATGGCACCCCTGCTTCTCTTTTTTGAAGCCTTATGAGAAGTGTTCCGATGGCTGTAAGTGAAAGTGAGAAGGGTAGCTGGGGGGAGTCAGAACTGAGAGTGACTGTCAGGTTCTGAGTTAGTTCTCTGCTCTGTGGGAGAGCGAGAATGTTCTGCTCCTCCTGGGAAACAGCATCATCTCTGTCACCACCTAAGAATATCTCTGGTAATTTAAAGGGCCTGTAAATGGGAACATTTTTGACAACATACATGGCACTGGAGAGGATAATGCAAAGCAAAATAAATCAGGAGAAAGAAGAGTATCAGATGGAATAGAGAGATGAAACAAAGGGCCAGACAAAACCAAACCAGTAACACATCCTTGACATTCAATTGCAAAACTGAGGCAGCCCGAAGGGGAGGGTGACTGTCTGGGACTAGGCCCAATGGAGCATAGTAGAGGATTATTGGGGGGGCTCTGGTGGTAGACATGGTATGAAAACATAGTAGAGGTTTGAGCCTATATCCCCTAAAACAAACACACTGATGTAAGTAACTTTACCTCAATAAATACAATTGGAGAAAAGAAGACTTTAAAAAGGAAACAGTATTGAAGAATATATCATGATAGATACTTGCTCAGGGTTTTTTTTTTTTTTTTTTTAAGGCATGTTTTATTTATTTGTTTGTTTGTTTGTTTTGTTTATACAAGCACTGGGTACAGTCAGAAGCACGGGAGGGTGAGAGAATTCACCAGAGCCAGAGCAGGGAGCAGAGCAGGCAGAAGGACCGAAGGACACTGCTGAGGGGAGCAGCGGGCGGCAGGAGAGGTCTGCGCGCCATGTGGGACCCTCCTCTGGTGGTGGGGGAGCAGCCGGGGATCGAACCGGCGCCGCAGAGGCCGCAGGCAGCTTCGCAACCCAGCGCTCAACTGCTGCGCCACCGGGGAGGCCCCAGGGGTTTTTTTTTTTTTTTAAACTTTCTGTAGGAAAATAAAAACCTAGCTTATCCAAATACAAAAAATAATTGAGCCCTTTCATATCTTTTGATTTGTAAGGTTATTTTCTTCTTTATCTTTAGAATGAAATGGATGATGTGCCCTTCTTTGATATCCAGCTGCCTTATGAATTGGCAATCAATATATTTCAGTATCTGGACAGGCGAGAACTTGGAAGGTGTGCACAGGTAAGCTGCCATTAATCGACATCGGAGATTGACCTGCACATGTAATTAGTTTAAGAAGCTCCTGGGTGACTTAGCACAATTAGAAACTCCAAAGAGTGAATAAATTGTATACCAACTTTACTTTAAGGAGAGCAATTTGGAACTTAAAGGGCTGTGTTTCATATCACTGTTTGGTGCTTGTCTTTTGTGGCTGTCTGCTCAGGAGCTCCGTTCTCCCTGCAGTCTGAGTTATGGCTGACCTGTGGCAGCGTGTTCAAGGCTGACAACTCTGTGCTCAGCTTTTATTGAGCTGGCCTGAGCTGTTCATGTCCTCACTGCTTTTAATGTAAAGATGCAAGCCCTTGGTTAAATCAAGCCAGTTGTGAGGTTGGAAGCTGTGGGTCAGCCTCAGGGACGAAAACAATGAAGTCATTTTTAGGCATATAGTCCAAATTGCCCTTCATACTAGAAGCCCGCTCTGTAAGGTGCGAGGCATGTGAGAATTGAGACCCAGCCAGGGAGGTGCGGATCTCCATCACCCATCTCATGCTGGTGGTGGTGGTGGGGGGGGCATCTGCCCATGGTGGGCATTCTGGGAGGGACTGTCTATGCTGATAGCACAGCAATCAAGGGGAGCTTGATAAGATGCAAAGTGGAATAGGAAATCTGGGTGGGGCCTGCATTTCTAACCAGGTAATGCCAGTACAAAACTTTTTGCTGTCATAAATTTTGTCTCTTGTTCATTTTTTTGAATAAGAGTATATAACGCCCTTAGGATGTTTGATGACATCCAGTTTTGTTATATAAACGCCCTTAGGATGTTTGATGACATCCAGTTTTGTTTTTTGGCAAAGAGTATATAATCTGTGAAAAGTTTATAATTTCTCATGAGTCAAAGGTGTGTGTGATTGCTGGTCGTTTGTCTTAATGTGGACAACCATGCTCCTTAGAAGACACCCAGCATGAGATGGGTGACGGAGATCCGCACGTCCCTGGCTGTTGTCCATAACTGCCAAAAAATTTGTGTTTAGTGTTTAACGTGTTCCATCTCAGGGTTCCATAATGTTTACACAAGCATCCATGCCTTCAAGAGAAAGGCTTCCATACGCCGAGTGGCAGGAGAACTGTGCATTAAAAGTCCAAAGTCCTATTGAGAATATAAAGTTAGGGATATTATGGTAGTTTCAGAGTGATGCGACCTGTCCCAAATTCAGACTGTAGAGCTCACTACCTCAAAGAAATCACACAAAATACGGGCGGACTTAGAGAGGTTCTGATTTTGTACTTTATGAAACATTTGTTTAATCAGTTATTTTTCTACTTAAATGTGAGTTTGAGAAGGTTTTTGGTAGTTTCTTCTTTTGGCTCAAAAATTCTTGTTTATCATTCTATTCCAGAAGTTGCTAATGTTCATATTCCCTCTCCCCTGGCAAAAGGAATAAGGGAAGTTTAGTGACCCACAATAGCAGCTCCTTGCCATCCCCCACCATTCCGCGTGTGCCCTTGTCCCTTTTCTTCCTCCTTCCCTCTTTTTTTTTTTTTTTTTTTGTTAATTTTTTTTTTTTCTTTTATAGAGGCATGTTTTTTATTTATTTATTTGTTTGTTCATTTGTTTCATTTATACATGCACTGGGTACAGTCAGAAGCGCGGGAGGGTGAGAGAATTCACCAGAGCCAGAGCAGGGAGCAGAGCAGGCAGAAGGACCGAAGTACACTGCTGAGGGGAGCAGCGGGCGGCAGGAGAGGTCTGCACACCATGTGGGACCCTCCTCTGGTGGCCGGGGAGCAGCCGGGAATCGAACCGGCGCTGCAGAGGCTGCCGTCAGCTTCGCAACCCAGCGCTCAACCGCTGCGCCACCGGGGAGGCCCCCTCCTTCCCTCTTAACCACAAAGCCCTTAGGATGTTTGATGACATCCAGTTGTTTTTGAAAGTGTTTTACTTTGTCATATTATCTTTTGTATGAATGTGTGATATTTTTATTGTTCTGATTTGTTTTTTCAAATTCCCTCCATTTTGTTGAAAATGATAGCATGTCACCCCCTTTGAAGGAGATTTAGGCTGTTTCCATGTTATATCCTTTGTAAATAAGTTTTCGATATTCTTGATTGCCACAATATAACTTACAAAACATATTTCTGATGAAGAGTGAAACTCTTCAGGGATTGACGGAGGAATTTTTCGAAGACTGACTTTCACTGAAGCACTGAAGTGTAAGTCATGCTCAGTGCCTGTCGGCTGCGTTAAGTAAGAGTACCTACCTTGTCGTCCTCTTTCCCTTGGAAATTGGATTTGTCATATTCTAACTTTACACATTGGCCCTGGTCCCGAGACTTGAAAACAAGGGTGTAGCTAAATGAGTCCAACTCCTGGATTTCAGCCTGATTCTGTTAGCTGAGGCTTGGAACAGGGTCTAATAGCTAGCTGCTTTACACAAAGTCAGCATTGGATGATAAAATCTTCATTCTTGATAGGGAGCTGCTGTTTAAGGAATCATTTCTTTTAACGGTGCTTTTTGCTCTCCTGCTTTGTAGCGGGCCATGTGGCTTTCACATCTGCTGCTGGTTTTCTCATCCAAAGGGTTTTATCAGGGGAAGATAGGATCTAGTGGAAGAAGAGATCCCCCTTTTGGTACAATGGGGCTGCATTTCAGGGTAGATTGGTTATGCTGGTGAGATTATTCTGCAGGTGTGAACAGTTTAATTTGCAACACAGTAGTCCAATTGTCCACGAGAGTGCTCCCTTCTTTGACCAGATTTTTTTTTCCTGGTTCAACCTAATTTTTAGAGCGCAAGTATAGGAATAGAACATATTCTTAAACAGATTTGCTAAGGCGGTTCTGATCTGCAAAACCAGGATTTTCTTCATAGAGCTTTTGTATGAAGAGGACAGTGGATGGCCAGCAGTTTGTAGAATTGGCTTTGTTTTCCCAAGCATTAAAATAAAAACCACAAAGGAATAAAAATAAGTATCATTTTCTTTACTTCTAATGATGTTTTCATTTTTGAAACAGGGGAAAAGTCCTTTTGTTGAATGGAATGTCTTGCTGTTTTATACTTTAATTTCAGAGCGGGTTTGTCCTATCTATCTCCCTCTCTCTTTTTCTTTTTTAATCTAGCTGCCTTGGGATTTTAGTGAAATTGGGCCAGTTATTTGGAATTGGCACCATGAACTATACATGTGCCCTTGGAGAAAACCTGTTTACTTAGATCTGTATGCCAAATTGGTAACCAGCTAACAATAAGGAACCCTGCTTGGGGAGGACTTCTGAGATTTAATTATGCCACAAACTGTGCCGGAGAACTGATTCTGCTTTGACTGTCTCCTTTCTGCATCACCTCTTTTTCTGTTTTGTGAGGCTTTATGTTTTCAAAACGTTAAGTCCTACTGTGTTAGTTTGGGATCCTTGTGTACTTCGGGCGCTGACCTCTCCAGCTCCTTGAACTCAGTATTTGTCCTTCAGGAATTGAGTATCTCTGTGGGGTTGCTTTATGCTGAAATGTCTCAAAAACATTGAGGCTTTTAGTAACAAGTAGAGTTAGGTGGTGGGCAGTTCATTGAACAGCTTTTCCATTTTGCTGTTTATCATTTTATGTTCATTCTTTTGTCTGTGCCCACAGGATTCCTGGCACTTTAGAGGACATTTTTTATAAATGGATAAGTTACAATTTGAAATTGTCAATTACAAAATTGTGGGGTTTTTATGAGGAAAGTGACTCTGCTGTTATAACATGGATAGTTCTGAGAAGCAATGGTTTATAGTAATGATTCATTCATTTAAAGACCGTTTAAATAACTGTAAATTCACAGGAAGTTGCAAAAAAATAGTGGAGAGTGTGCACCCGCCCCAGCCTTCTCCACTCATCAGTTTTGCATCTTCATGTTATTATTTCTGTGCAGTTTTTCACAGGCACAGATTTGTGTGGCACACAGTCAAGGATATCTCGTGCTACTCCTCTATCCTCATCTGTCGTGACCCTTCTCCCCCATTCCTCACCTTGGCAACCACTGATTTGTTCTCCAGCTCTTTAATTTTGTCTTTCTTTCAATTTTCATTTTAAACATGTATTTTAGTTATGTTTATTTCCTAATGTGTAAATGTAGCAATTTTGCTGCATGGGCAACGATGTCACATATTTTTTTCAAGTCAAAGGTAGAAAAATGTGCATAAAGAAAGCAAAAAGAAAAAGAGCAATGGTACATAAAAACACAAGATTTGTGATAAAATTGTTAAGCAAGAAGTAGGTGTAAGGAAAAAAAAAAAAAAAACAAGTTCTGGCACTAAATCCCAGTATATTAGATTATGATATTTCAAGTTTCAAGGAAAATGTGATCTATGATCTCAAATATCTAAATAGGTGAAACCTAAACCTTAGGTTTTATAGCTAAGGGTTTTAATGAAATCTTTAAAAGTCGGGAATAATCTATTACCAAAGCCAGATTGATTGTAAAGACCCTTAGATGCTGGCAGGTTCCCAGAGTCTGAACAGGGGCAAGGGAAAAACAGAGTTGATCCCCAAGAAAGGATGAGGCGTGAGATGAAACACACCTGGCAACCTCTTAACTGGTATTAGAACTGGGTGGTAGTACTTGGGAGTTCTTCAGACTCTGTTTTATTTTTGTGTGTTTGAAATTTTCCATAATTAAAACTTAAAGCAGAAAACAAGGGATTGAGTAAGAATGTCTGAACCTGCTGAGGGCAGCTCATGTCAGAGGCTGAACTTCGAAAATAAAAGCACTCCAGTTTAAGTGTTCAGTTTGTTTTTTAAGTTGGACCTATTCTTTCATTTCATTCAGTTATCTACAGAGGGCTTGCTATGTGCCACGTAATGTTCTAGATGGCAAGCACAGCAGTGAACACGACATAAAAATACCCTGCCTCTCAGCTTACGTTATATGAAACAAACATACTTAAACATAGAGCACAGATAGTGATAACTGCTATGGAGCAGAGGTGGTGATGTTGCACTTTTAAGTGGCCAGGGAAGCCTCCACAGAGGAGGTGACCTTTGAGCAAAGATCT